CCCATTTTGCCATCCCCGCAGCCACTACTGAAGAAAGGGCAATTCTGTCCACAGTTTTAATCCTCATGTGCATTGGAGCTGCATGTCTTGGCTCAGCCTGTACTACATGGGGGTGACCACCTCCCTTTCTCACAGAGTCATAGGGCCTGCAGTGTGGGGACAGCCTCACTGTCCTTGCTCTGAGCGTGTTTGCTTCTTCTGCAGGAGCCAGCTTCAACCTGTTGTGACTTCCTAGCCCTTCACTAGGAGGCCAGCCCAGGGCCTGGTGTTATCTGTTAAGGTTCTGTTTTTAGGCTGACCTCACCCCAAGTCATGCCCTTGGCCTCACCACGCCTGAACCAGCCTCTCCGCAGAGGCAGAACCCAGAGTTGGAATGTGACCGCCGCCTGTAACTCTGACCACCTCGTCCCTCCCTCCTGGAGCTGCCTGTTCCCCCCTTCCCCCAGCTTCCCAAAGGCCTGCTGACTTTCTGAACCTTCCTAGGCTTTGCTGGGCCTGGGCAGGTCAGGTGTCCACGCTGGCACATGCCTCCTGCTAAAAGGCAGCTAGCTGATGAGAAATGTTCCCCAAACTGACTCAGCGTGTTGGCCTCATTGGGAGGAGGGGGACATGGTAGGTCCATGAGTCAGTGACTGGCTGTGACACCAGCCAGGACAAGGACTTAAGTCTGCCACATGGGCTGCAGTGATGCATCCAGTGTCTGGGTCTCCGCATCTCAGTGCTCTCGTGCTCGCACACACGGACACGCTGACACACAGAACAAACACACAAGCATGCGTGCACACCCTGATGCGCTTTCTCTGCTGGCCTCTGGGGCCTGGGTTGTCACCAGCCCAGAGGGAGCCTCAGGCCATGTGCCTGGCGTGGGAAGTCAGCACCACTTCGGCTTTGTGCTCAGCAGGGAGCCCACAGTTGGGTGGCTGCTTGGGGTGGCCAGGGGTCCTGAGGTCCTGGTGGACACTCTGGATGCTGACCAGGACTCCCCAGCCTTCCAAGGAAAATACGCCTGGGGCCACCCGTTTGTTCTCTGTATGCGTCTATATTTAACGCTGAGTAATTTAGGTATTTTTGAACCGATCGGGTGGCGGTTTTCCCTGAGTTGGATGTTTTGTGGCTGCTTTGAAGCTGTGTGCTGAATCAGAGCTCTGGAAGCCCACACGTGGGCCCTGTGCATGGTCCAGACACACTCGGGCCTCTTCTGACCCAAGAGGGGCCTGGGTGTCTGCTGGACGCAGGGAGCAGGAGGAGTGGAAGGATTGTTTTTGTTTTTTTTAACTGAAACTCTGGTCACTATAGATGCAGTTGTGACAAATCACAGAGAGAAATTCCATGTGTCATTCACTTCATTTTCTCCAATGGTGATATTTTGTCTAAGTCCCTGGTCAATATCACAGCTAGGATGTTGACGTGGATACAGTCCACCAGCCTTATTCCGATTTCTGCAGTTGTGTGTGTGTGTGTGTGTGTGTGTGTGTGTGTGTTAAGTTCTTTGCATGTTTGTCACCTGGGCAGCACGTGGATCCACCAGCAGTCAAGATATGTGACATTGCCAGCACCACAAGGACCTCTGGGTCACCCTTTTCTCCCAGGCCCCCACCCACCCCAGACCCTATCAACCACCCATCTATCTTTCAACATCTCCACAATCTTATCATCTCAAAAATAGCCCATAAAATGGCATGGTACAGCATGTAACTTCTGGAGATCGGCCTTTTTCACTCAGCAGAACTCCCTAGAGCCCGTCCAAGGTGTGTTGATCAACAGCCCATCCCTGTTAATTGCCAAATAAGAAATTTTTTTAAAATCTGAAATCTGCCTTTAGTTTTCTGTTGACACCTGGCCCTACTGACTGCCAAGCAGACAGTGATACAGTGTGTCGTGACAGAAGCACAAACTGCTGCTTAGTTGCGACGTTAGATGCCTGCCCTCTGGGGCCAGGATTTCCCAGTCTTCTAGCACTAATGCCTGTGAGGGTCCTACTGGACGTTTGGGGCCACGTCACTGTCTGTGGGGGGCCGTCCTGGGCACTCTGGGGGCTTGAGAAGCATCCCTGGCCCTCACCCCCTGAATGCCAGGAGCACCCCCAGTGTGACAACCACAGATGTCCCCAGATATCCCAGTTGAGAACCACACCACTAGGGCTCACTAAATGAAGACTGGATGGAAAAAGTAGAATTTTCACGGCTTTAGGGAACAGAAAAGAATTTGCATAACTGAATTATAAAAACAAGTTAACATCATCACTCATACATCACTGTGGGAATGTAAAATAGTACAGTCTCTCTTGAAAACAAGTTTGGCATTTTCTTTAAAAATTAAACCTTCAGTCACACTCCTCAGTTTTTTACCCAGAAAAATATAAAGACTCGTGGCAGCTTTTTTCATAGCAGCCAAAATGTGTGATGCCCATACACATCCTTGCCCAGGCCAGCGTTTTCCTGTGCACGCCCATGCCCCAGAGCGCGAGTCGGCCGTGAAAAGGCCCAACCCAACCAACAGGCAGAAACCTGGATGGCACCTCCGATAGTCACACCGAGTGGGAAAAACAGTGACATACCGTAAGGTGGTGTTTATATACCATCCAGATGACAAACGCAAGGAGAAAGGGAACCTGTCAGTGGCCACCAGGGATAGAGGTGGGTTGAGGGAGGTGTGACTGTGCCATTTAAGGGCCACAGGAGGGACCCGGGGGGTGGAAGTGCCCTGTGTCTTTTCTGTATCATGTCACCATCCTGGTTGTGATCTCACTACAGTTTTCAGGGTGTCACCCTTGGGGGAAACTGGGCAAAGGGTGCACAGTCTCTATCATTTCCTACAACTGATGGGCATCTTAAATTTTTAAATCTAATTTAAAATCAATTACTAAAAATATTTTGGAAAGAACATAAAAACCATCTCAAACAAGAGCTAAGCAGGAGTCGTGGCATAATAAAGCGTGCGCCTTCTTGGTGGGGGCAGGTGGGCGGGCTCTCTGACCCCTCAGCTGTGATCTGCGACACCCAATTCCTAAGGGTTCTGGAGAGACAGGTCCACAGGTGGGATTTGGGGCAGACAAACACAAGCACTCTCTCCTCCTAGAGCTGAACTAGCTGAAGGTCTGCCGGTTGTGGGGACAGGGCGGGGGGGTTCACCTGGAACCACCCATCCACGCTAAGCGTGTTACTCCAAGCACACCATCCACACTCAGAACTCACGTCCACTCGGAACCTCAGAACGGGACCCTATCTGGAAATATGGTCATTGCATATGTGATCGGTTAGGATGAGGTCACACTGAATCCAGTGACAGGTGTCTTTATAAGGTGAAGATTTGGATACAGACACATAGAAAGAAGTCCATGTGGGGCCGGCCGAGTGGCGCGATGGTTAAGAACTGGCTTGGGATGCCAGAGGGCCCCGGTTTGGATCCCACATATGAGGGCCAGTGACACTGCCCTCCACAGCTAAGATGCTGAACAACAGCTCAACCTGGAGCTGGGCTGCCGTGAGTCGCCGGCGACGGCGTGGGCTGCAGTCCCTGCTGCAGTGGGTTGCCATGGGCTACCGTGTGTAGCCAGCAGCCAGCGTGAGCGGCCAGCAGCCGCAGTGAGCGGCCGTCCAGAAGCCGGCGACTGATCTGCCTCGCCAGAGAAGAGCGCAATGATGGTGCCAACTTGGGCCAGTGAAGCAACGTCCTCCACAACTAGACTGAAGAACAAAACGACAGCAACTTGTCTGTTCCCCTTTCCCCAATTCCCCAGCACTGTTCCCATCCCCCCAATTCCCCAATAAAAATCTTTAAAAAAAAAAAAAGAAAGAAGTCCATGTGACAACAGAGGCAGAGATTGAGGTGATGCAGCCACAAGCCAAGGGACACCAAGGACTGCCAGCCATGCCAGAAGCTAGGACAAGAAGGAAAGACCCTCCCCAGAACCTTCAGAGGGAGCACGGCCTGGCGACACCTTGATCTCACACTTGCGGCCTCCAGATGTGAGAAAATAAATTCCTGTTGTTTTAAGCTGCCCAGTCTGTGGTCATTTGTCATGGCCACCCAGGACACTAATAGAGGAACATAAGCCTCAATGAAGAGCTCTGGAAACCCTGCAGAACCAAGCTGCCCCAGAGTTTGTGACCCAAACATGGCTGCCCTGCCGCCCCCAAAGCCACTCCTGAGCAGAAAACATGTGCTGCCCTGCCCCGGACAGCCAGCCAGGTGTGGAAGGCCAGGTCCTGCCTCTGGCTGGGTACAGGGACAGCCAGGCCTCAGGTGGGGAGCGGGCCAGCAGACAGGGCGTAAATCTGAACTGGGCCCCCACATACATACATGACCATCATCCACTCGATTCTCAGCGCAGTGCCTGGCACATGGAAGGACATTTTCTGTGACAGTTTGTTGAACAAACAAACATATGAATGAAGGAAAGAATGAAATAGCCCCAGCCCTCCACGAGGGGGTGATGGACCCAGGAGTTGATCTGCCTCAGACAGAACCAGGGGGTCTCAACCAGGGTGATCTGCCACTCAGGGGAGAGCCATGTCTGGTGACAAGTGTGGTCATCATGATTGGGCATACTCCTAGCATCGAGGGGCTGAGGCCAGGAATGCTACCCAATACCCCACAGTGTCCAGGACAGCTGCTCTTGACTGGCCCCACATCAGCTGGATGGAGGGGGTACCCTAGAGCAGGGGCAGGGGTCAGGAAACTTTTGCTGCTTTTCCCTACCAAGTCCTCCTCTGGAGTCAACCCAGAGCCAATGCTGTGATTTCATGAACTCTCCTGGAGACCCTTAATAGTCACAACCAATGACTGGCCACAGGAGGAGACTGTCGGACAAGAGCGCCTCCCACCCCCCACCTGAGGACACAGATAATGTGGCCAGTCTGCAGAGTGGGGCTGCAGGGTGATGGAGTGGGTGGCCAGGGGTCTTCAAAAGGGGGGTGGACATCCTGCCTCTCCATCCTCAGCTGCATGAGGTCCTGGGACTTCCCGAGCTAGCTCATGCTGCCTGCTTCCCCACACAGCTCTCTGGACATCGGGGGCCCAGAGCTGATGGCAGACAATGTCAACCACTAACAACATAGCCCAGGCCCGGAAGCTGGTGGAGCAGCTCCGCATTGAAGCCGGGATCGAGCGCATCAAGGTGAGAGCTGAGCAGCTGGGGGAGAAGGGAGAGACCCACAGGCCCACAGAGGCTGGCTGGGCAGGAGGGCTGGACTTGCACTCCAGCTGTGCCTCTCCCTGTGCAACCTCAGGCCACTTGATTAACGTCTCTGAGCCTCAGTTTCCTTAGCAGAAAGACGCAGCTGATGTAAACCTGTGTCATGGGTTGTGATGATCCCATGTACCATGGTGATTATAAACATTGAGCTCGCCCCCAGCCTGTGGGATCCCTCCCTGGAAACCCCATCGAAGGTTGCCTCAGACACCAGAAGGGCCAGCCTGAGGCAGGCACTTTGTCTGTCTTGTGTCCCCTCCTCCCCCCTTGACACAACAAATGCAGATAGACGATAGAGATGTGGTCCAGGGAGGGGAGGGGACAGAGTTTTCTTCACCTCTGCTTTCTTTACCTTCACGCTGTTTGAATTTTTTGAAATAAATGGGTTTGCTTTTTATGCTAAAAAAAGGAAAAGGACAGCAGTTCCTGGTCCCTGATGGGACCAGGAACACACAAAGCAAAGTAGGGTAGTGCATCATTGCACAGGCAGGTCTGCAGACAGAGGTCTTAAAAAATAATTTGCATACCATGAAGTTAACCATTTATTTTAAAGTTATGCGTTTCAGTGGCATTGGGTGCATTCATAGGGTTGTGCAACCACCACTTCTATCTAATTCCGGAACATTCCATCACCCAAAAAAACTACCCCTCTCCTTTAGCAGTCACCCCCGTACCTCCCTCAGCCCCTGACAACCAAGAACCCACGTCCTGTCTGTGGATGTGCCTGTTCTGGACATTTCACATAAACGGAATCACACACTGTGTGGCCTTGTATGTCTGGCTTCTCCCACTGAGCACCGTGTGTTCAAGGTCCACCCACTTTGTGACGAGTGTCAGCGCCTCCCTCCTTTTCATGGCCGAGTGACACTCCTGTGTGTGGAAGGGCCACACTGTGTTTATGTAAATGAATTTTAAGTCCATGATAGGACATCAGGACAGCATCCAAGGCTCACAAGTTTTCCCCTTTCCAAGGACATGGACCAACGGGCCAGTCACAGCCTCTTACACGAGAAAGGTGCCTGACACTGTTCAAAGGCACCCTCTCACCAAACCCATGTACACTTTGCAAAGACAGTGAGGCACCTCCCAGGGGCTATTTCCTGCCCCTGACCCCAGCTTGCAGACTGCCGGGTAAGGACCAGGGAGTCTCCAACTAGGGGATCCTGGGGCTTTATGCTTCTAGATTAGCCCTGCTCCAGCTACACACTTGGTTAGTCAGGGTTCTCCAGAAAAACAGAACCGACAGAATGTGTGTACATATCTATATAGAGAAAGATGTGTTTTAAGGAATTGGCTCACGTGATCATGGGGGCTGGCAAGTATGAAGTCTGCAGGGTAGACCGGCAGGCTGGAGACCCAGGGAAGAATTGATGTTGCAGCTTGAGTCCCAAGGTATCTGGAAGCAGAATTCTCTTTTTGGGGAGACCTCAGTCTTTTCTCTTAAGACCTTCAACTAATTAGATGTGGCCCACCCACATTATGGAGGCTGATCTGCTCTACTCAAAACTGACCGATTTAATTGTTAATGTCACTAAAAAGTATCTTCATAGAGACATCTAGAGTGGTGTTACGTCAACTCTCTGGATGCCATAGCCTAGCCAAGTGGACACATAAAATCAACCACCGCCCCACGTATTTGTTGAGACCTTGCTTTCCTGAGTACCTGCCATTCCCCAATCGCTGCTGGTCGTGGGACTTGATTAGGAAGGGCTGGCCCGGCCCTGGTGCAGACAGATTCACACCTGACAGCCAGACTGTAGAAGGGAGTGAGGAACCGTCCTGGTGGACCCATGGGGCTCCATCCAGCCAGGTGGGAGGGCTGAGCCCCCATGGGGGGAAATGCCTCCCAGGAGGTTGGTGAAGGTACCAGAACTCTGCACATTCAAAGCATTCCTTTGGGCTGAAGAAAGAGAAGGGCTCAGTTGAAGTGGTTTTGCTTTGTGAGCGATGCCAGCCCCCAGCCCTGGCGGAGCGGTGATTCATCCTGTCGGTTTGAAGTTCAGGAGCAGTCTCCGGCCACCCCTTTGAAAGTCTGGAGGAGGGCAGTCAGGACGTGACCCACTCTCCCTCCCAATCCCGCCTGAGGTTTTGCATCCTCCCAAAACAGCGACCAGGCGGTAGAGCATCAGCCCCATCTGAAAGACCAGCCTGGCCATGTGGCCTGGGATGCGCTGCGGGCACGGTGGCCCTGGCACTGTGTGCAGAGCCTTCCTGTCAATGCCAGAGACAGGCAGGAGGCTGCCACACGCCAGAGCCACAACACCAGCTATTTCAGGGCCCGGAGACTATTTTTGTCATCTGGGAGGGGTACTTTCCAAACGCGACTCTGGAAAACCAAGCTCCATCTGCTCATCAGAGGCGGCCGCCCAGGAGCAGCCTCATGCTCACAACAGTGGCAATTGTTGCTGTCTGAGGGCAGAAGCATCCCCTGGCTGAACCCACAAGCCTGCAGACTCTCAGCAGCATAGGACAGGGTTGGGGTGTCCTTGGCATTCAGGGGTGCAAGGCCTAGGATGCAGAGGTGCCTCTGCAGGCCACAGACATCGCGGAGGATTTCAAAGAGTGTTCTCTCCCCGCCTGCCTCATTTGTCCCACCCAGTAGCCCCTGCACAACTGTCACTGCTGTCTGGCCTTATAGGCGAGAAAGAGAGGGACTGAGAAAGGGAGTCCCACAGACAGACTGTTCCTGCCCCTGGGATGAGATCCAGGGGCCCATGGACATGCCCTGCTCACCCCAACCCGGGACAGCCCCTACAGCACCCCCAAATGCATGACTAGAAGGACTGGGGCACATGCCCAATGGGATACTTGGGGCCAAACGGCGCCCTTTGTAGGATCCTCAGCTCCCCGGGCACTCAGCGCCGTGTTTTACCCATGTCAACTTTCCCAGGCACCCTCCTTTCTCTCTTGGGGACTCGGATGCAGGTAGTTCTAAGGGTCAGTGCCCTCACTGGGGTCACTGAACCCCAAAAGATTTAGACTGCACAGAAAGGAGATGCAGACAAGCTTGTCTTGTCCCCCTCGATCACGCCGATGTGCAGGCAGAGGTCTTCCTGTCCGACCCTTTCTTGAGCAGGATAGTCATCAGCTGGATCCTAAAGAGACTGCATCTAGCCTTGACCCTTTCTGTTCAAAATCTGGGCAACTGCTGAGGGAGGCTCGGCCCTTCTTATAATCTTTTTAAATTGTGGTAAAATACACAGAACATTAAATTTACCATTAGTGATATTTAGTATGTTCAGTGTTATGCAATCATCACTTCTATCCAATTCCAGAACATTCCATGAACCCAAAAAAGCCCCGATAAGTGTCTCCCCCTCATCCCCCATCCCCAGCCCCTGACAACCACTAGCTCACATCCTGTCTATGGACGTGCCTGTTCTGGACATTTCACATAAATGGAATCACACACTGTGTGGCCTTGTGTGTCTGGCATCTCTCACTGAGCACCGTGTGTTCAAGGTCATTCCACATTGTGGTGTCAGCGCCTCCCTCGTTTTCATGGCCGAGTAAAACTCCCGTTTGTGGATCCACCTCGTTGTTTGTCTATCTCCTGTTGATTGACATTTGGGCTGTGTCTACCTTTTGGCCTCTGTGAATCCTGCTGCTGTGAACACGTGTATCAGCCCCTTACATTTCCTCTCTCATCCTTGTGCCCATACTCAGGTCTCCAAAGCCTCGTCGGAACTCATGAGTTACTGTGAACAGCACGCCCGGAACGACCCCCTGCTGGTCGGAGTCCCCGCCTCCGAGAACCCCTTTAAGGACAAGAAGCCTTGTATCATTCTATAGCTTTGTTTTCTTGTGTGTTCTCCCTCTTTCCCTCTCGTTCTCCCTCCTTTTCTCTCAGTCAGGGCATCATTCAGTATGTAGCTCAAGCAAAACATTTTGAATCCCTGAAACTGTCAATGCCAAAAGAAATGCAAAAGTTGCCACGTCCCAAATGGGTGAAATGTATCCTCTGGATTATTATGGATTTTCAGACCAAACAGTGCAACCCTCAGGGCCCAGCCAGAAGAGGGATGGTGGCTTCACAGCCACTTCCAATTAGGAATAACTGAAATGCCCAAGCAATGTGGTAAACATTTTTTTTAACTCTCAGTGGCCGCTTGAGCTGTGGTCCAGAGCCAAGCTGGGCTGGGAGAAGGGAAGGGGCAGGTGTATTAGCCACTGGTCCACCAATCTAGGTGACCTGGCTGGCTGGGCCTTTCTCACACAATTGGCCACTTGTGAAGACTTCTGCCAGGTCGATGCTACAGTGCTTTTTTTTTTTTTTTAAGCAGAGTAAAATTGGGGGGAGTTTGGCATATAATGAGCTTTTCCAGAAAAAATCTCTCCTTTTCATTTAAATAAGTTATTCCATACTGCTAAAATCAGATTTCAATGGCTGAACACGCGGCCAAGCTGTACTGTATAATAACGCACAAGTGGATTTTAGGCAGCTGGGAGGGGGGCTTTTGGCAACATACCCTGTGTCACCAAATGTCACCCCTCTGTATGGCATTTGTATGGCATGTGTCAGTGGCATGGCCACTGTTCAAACAGAACTGCAGCCTGGGGAGGCCCTGTGTGGTAGGCTGGGCCGCCTGGTGCCTCGAGTGAAAAGGTGTTAACTAGAAGTAGATGGAAGGCCTGGAAGGTGAGGGCCTGCAGCCCCGTCTCACTCACCTGGATCTGCTTTCACACCCCATAGACCCAGAACGTCTGGTTGGAGGAAGTGAGAGGAATCATGGCAATTCATCACTCTTCCCACCAACCTTGGACATTTAAGATGTCATGGAATTGGGGGGTGGGGGGGGACCGTTTTTTAAATTACTTTTTCCTCTGTTACAACATGGACAGTTAAAGCAGCTGGAGGAAGGGGCCGAATCCACCCTTCTCCCTCCTCTGCCAGTGTCACCTGCGTCCACCGGGACCCCACACAGCCCTCAACTCAGGGGTCCCTGCCTGTTGTGTCCCTGGGTCCAGAGGCAAACTGTGGGAAGAAACGAGCCCAGCTCTGCCCCAATAGCCCCGATGGACGTCAGAGTCTGAGGCCCGTGTCAGCAAGATCCTGGATGACCGCCAGACCCAGGCCCTCCCCTCACAACCGCAGGGCCGGGGCCAGGGCCAAGGCTCAGATCTTGCCTGAGTTGAGATGGCTCCAGTGGATGACCCTCCATCCGGCTCCCCCAGAGCACAGGTTGGAAAGCTGAGTCCTTCTCCCCAACACCCAGCTCTCCCTGGCCGGTCCGGGAGCACCAGGGGCTTTGGGGAGCCCGGCACCTCCAGACCTGCAGTTGGAGAGGGGCAGCCGCCTTTCATTGGGCAGGGAACAGGCGGCGGGGCACCTCTCACCATCCCTGGCAGGATGGAATGAAAGCCAGTTCTAGGACCGGTGGGGAGTGGGGCGGGGGGCGTCTGCCGGCCCTTCCCACCAGCCATCTGGTGACTGGCAACTAATGATGTCCTTTTGCTCTGTGACAGAAGCCTTAATCCCTTGAGCCCACATCAGATCCTTGCATGCCCATCCTTCCTCCTACGCCCCCCACTGTCCGGCCACCAGGCCCCAAAGAGGATGGGAGGTCCTGATCTCAGTGTCAGGAACACCTCAGAGGCCCCAACCTCCCCTCTCTCTCTAGTCCCTGCCTTGCCCAGCCCCACCGTGTGTCCCCACCCAAGTGACCCCAGAGAAGCCAGCCGGAAGCAAAGCCCAGAACCCCTGGCTAAGAGAGGTTGGGTTGAACCTGAGTTCATCAGCTCCATCGCCTGCACTGGGCTCAGTTGCCCAACATGTCTCCCACTCCCAGCCTTGCACAAACTCCATCCCAAGCCAGGGGAGCCTTCCGAGTCAGACAGTGATCTGGGTAAACTGAAGGCCAGCCAGGGTGAGGACAGTCCGTTTCCCACCGCACCTGCTCGGCTGCCTCCCCCAGGTGCCCACTGCCCTGTCCCCTGAGCCTGGAAATTAGGTGCCCACAGCCTCGTACCCGAGAGGTGGCGATTGGCAGAAACCCCACCATGGTTTTCTTTCTGGCTGACGAAAAAAAAACAACTTTCCTCTTTTTACATTTAAAGTAATTGTCACTGTCCATAGTTAGACCTGAAGCATCAGAGCACTCAGGACAACATATGCTGCTTGTGTGTTCCTGGTGCAAGAATCCACCATGAAAACACAGTTATGGGGCGTTTTAGGGCCTGGAAGAGCCCTTCACATTAGGGAGCTGGCAGGGGTGGCAGCATGGGCCTTGGGGAAACCATCTTCTCCCAACCATGTCATGGGGGAAAAAATTAAGGACACATACACAGCAGGCAGGGGTGGGAGACATTGAGTCTCCCCATCCTCTGCAGCCCAGTTCAGGATCTGATGACCCCCACTCCAGGAAGAAACTAGTCCGCGCACCCCCTCCCCCATTCTGCCAGAGGTGACCCCCAGGCTAAGAATTAAGTGATGCATTGTAATCTCTAGCCCCAGGGGATGTAAATCAGGGCTGGTGGGAAGGTACTGTCTTTGTGGCTTTGATGTCCCTGTGGCCTCCTTGTGTCCAGGACAGCGCTGGACCTCCATGCAGCTCATCCATCTGGTGAACAGCCTCAGTCAGCCCTGCCCTGAGCTCTGAGGCTGCAGGAAAGGCCCTGGGACCCTCAGACCCTCACCCCAAGCGTGAGTAACCAGGGGCAGTTTCCAGGCCAAGGTGAGGCCACCAAAGGCCACTTATCCTTCCAGAGCACTTATAAAAAGCACCTGCCACAGGGTCTCCTGAAGACAAGCCATATGTTGGACACTGCCCTCTTCCTTCTCTGTCCATGGAGCCCATTGCCAAACGTTGTAACAACCAGTTCCATTTTCAGAAGCAATCTGTGGTTCTGGCAGGTTCTACCCCATCTGCGTTTGGATGGCCGGTGGTTGTTATTTCTTATTTTTTAAAAATTTCTTGCAGTGTTTTAATATTGTATGGAATTGTTAATACAAAGTGAATTAATCCACAATAAAAGGCTCACTGTCCTTTACTCCCGGCTCTGGGCGCCCCTTTCCCTGGCCACTACTGGAGGGCAGGGGCTGCCCCACCTTACCCACGCTCCTCACCTGTCCCCCCAGCAGAGGCAACATGGATGGGACCCGCTTCAGGCAGCAGCACACACGAGCAGCCTCCAGCCTCGTGGGCTTTTTGATTTATAGTTAGAGCATGTAGGGGAAAGGCTATTTGAGGATCTGCATGTGAGTGAGCCATGTGTCCCATGGCTCTGGACTTTGACATGGCCAGTGGGAAGGCACCTCACTCTTTGAAGGCCTGGGAGCCTGAGAAGATCTTAATCTCACCCCAGCAGCCTTGTTGCCCATCATCCAGAGACGCTCCCAATCACTGGAGACTGCCAGGAAGAGGAGTGAGTCACGGCTCAATTCAGCAGACCATGAAGAGTTTGATTTTTTTGTTTTGTTTTGTTTTTATATTTGTTTATTTATTTTTTTAGCTGAGCCACCCTGCCACCTGTTGGCAGCTCAGCAGCAACTCAGCTCAGGCCGGGACTCGAACCGGTGTTGCTCAGAGCTTGCACTTGCTTCTTTTTTTTTTTTTTTTTTAAAGATTTTATTGGGGAATTGGGAGAGGGGAACAGCGTTTGGGAGTCGGGGAGGGGAAAGACAAGTTGCTGTCCTTTGGTTCTTCAGTCTAGTTGTGGAGGACATCACTTCACTGGCCCATTCACTGGTATTATCATTGCACTCTTCCCGGGTGAGGCAGATTGGTCGCCGGTCTCTGGACGGCCACTCACAGCAGCTCTTGGCAGCTCACGCCAGTTGCCAGGCCACTTACGCTGGCAGCCGGCCACACACAGTAGTTTATGGCAGCCCACTGCAGCAGGGGCTGCAGCCTACACCATCGCCAGTGACTCAGGGCAGCCCAGCTCCAGGTCGAGCTGTTGTTCACCATCTTAGCTGTAGAAGGCAGTGTCACTGGTCCTCACGTGGGATCTGAACTGGGGCCCTGCTGCTCAGAGCTGGCGTCCCAAGCCAGCTCTTAACCAACGTGCCACTCGGCCGGCCCCAGAGCTTGCACTCCTGAGTGAGCTCTTAACCAACTGAGCCACTCGACCAGCCCTAAGTTTTAATAATATATCTGCAATTGGGTGATTCTGACTTCTGGGCAGAGAACTTTCTCTGTATAAAACATATACAGATTTGACTACATAAAAATTATCCCCGGTGTATCAAAAAGTATAAGATTAGAAGGCAGTTCAAAAACCTAAAGCTTACCAGGTGACCCAGTGGTCCCACTGCTGTGTGTGCACACAAAGCTCTGAGAGCAGGGATTCAAATAGATACCTGAACACCCATGTTCCCAGCAGCATGACTCACAGCGGCCAAAAGGTGGACATGGCCCCAGTGTCCACGGGCGGATGCATGATCAACATGGGTGGTCCATCCACACAACTGGAATATTACTCGGCCTTAGAAATAAAAGACTCTGACACCTGCTACAACATGGATGGACCCTGAGGAAATGATGCTCAGACATAAGCCAGTCACAGAAGGACAAATACTGTGTGATCCCACTCACAGGAGGTCCCTAGAGGAGTCAGATTCATAGAGACAGAGAGTAGATGGTGGTGCCAGGGGCTGGGGGAGGGGAGGGGAGTGAGTGTTTAATGGGGACAGAGTGTCAGTTTGGGGAGATGGAAAGTTCTGGAGATGATGGTGGGGATGACTGCATGACAGTGTGAATGTGCTTAATGCTGCTGAGCTGTACACTTAAAAATGACTAAAATGATAAATTTCATGTTACATATATTTTACCACAAAAAGAAAAACACACAACCTTACCCAATATTCACCTGAAGATCTAAAATTTAAGATGGGCATTGTTGAGGGTATGGAGCAACCTGGACCTCCAAGCTTGGGGGAAGTGAATGCTACAACCACTTTGGGAAAAGGTCTGGCAGTTTCTTTTTTTATTTTATTTTATTGGGGAATTAGGGGAGGAGAACAGCGTTGGGGAATCAGGGAAGGGGAACAGACAAGTTGCTGTCCTTTTGTTCTTCAGTCTAGTTGTGGAGGACATCGCTTCACTAGCCCATGTTGGTATTATCATTGCGCTCTTCCCGGGTGAGGCAAATCAGTCGCCGGCCATTGGACAGCCGCACACAGCAGCTCATGGCAGCTCATGCTGACTGCCAGCCACTCATGGTAGCTCACGGCAGCCCACTGCAGCGGGGGCTGCAGCCTACGCTATCGCCAGCGACTCATGGCAGCCCAGCTCCAAGTCAAGCTGTTGTTCACAATCTTAGCTGTAGAGGGTGCAGCATCACTGGCCCATGTGTGAACCGAACTGGCGGCCCTGCTGCTCAGAGCTCGTGCTCCCAAGCCAGCTCTTAACCAACTGAGCCACTCGCCCAGCCCTGGCAGTTTCTTATCAAACAACACACATCTACTCTATGACTTGGCAGTTGCACTTGTATTTACTCAAGAGAAATCAAAACATATCCACAAAAAAGTCTTGGAAGGTATGTTCAGAGCAGCTCTCATAATAGTGAAAACCTGGAAACATTTCAGGTGTTCATCAACAGGTGAGCGGATAACAAACTGTGATCGGTCCATTCTTACCCCCGAATCCTGCCCAGCATATCGAGGAAGAAACTAGTACTAAGCACAGTAACCTGGGTGACTCCCAAAACTTCATGCTGCACGAAATAAGCCTTACACGAGAGGATGGCCAGTATGATTCCATTCTATGAAGTTCTAGAACAGGCAAGCGTATGCCCAGGCTGTGCAGTCGGAAGAGTGACTCCCAAAGGTGTCCACATCCTATAGTCTCCAGAACCTGTGGCTATGTCACCTTATGTGGGATGAAAGGAATTTGGCAGGTGGGATTAGGTCAAGGTCCCTGAGATGGGGACGACCCTGGATTACAGGGGGCCCAGTGTCATCACAGGGTCCTCATAAGAGGGAGGCAGGAGGCTCACAGTCAGGGAGATGGAAGAGGCTGCACTGCTGGCTGTGACGATGGAGGAGGGGCCATGAGCCAGGGACGCAGTGCCTCTAGAAGCTGGAAACAAGAAAACACGTGAAAGAAGCCAGTCTGAAAGGCTGCACACTGTATGAATCCAACTCTATGACATTCTGGAAAAGGCAAAACCATGGAGAAAGTAAAAAGATCAGGGGTTGGGGGAAGGATGAATAGGTGGAGCAGTGACACTTCTGAAGGACATGGTCATGGTGGAAACATGACATTATCCATTTGGTGAAGCCCACAGAATGTAGTGAAGGCCTGGGGGAAGGCCTGGATGGCACTGCATGTGTCCAGAATGCAGATGTCTTGCCCCATAAAGCAGGAGGCCAGGGGCCAGCGCGGTGTTGGCATTGAGAGGGGGGAGGGTGTTCTCTAACTGGGTGGGAGTGTGCTCCCAAATGAAGCATACGTTGCCCCCACAAAGAGTAAACAAAGAAATTCAAAGTGATCATCAGTGCAGTGACTACACAAACTCAAGACACCAGTATCATTTTCAGAATCTTTCCCTTCAAAGAGTTCACTGAAACCAAGAGGGGAGAAATGGCAAATTCTGAGTCACAGCCTCTCAGTGGGACAAGTTACAGAATTCACAGGGCCTCTTGTTCAAAAATTAAGAATTTCAGGGGATATAAAGTATAGCACAGGGAATACAGTCAATAATATCATAAAAACTATGTATGATGCCAGGGGTGTACTAGACTTATCAGGGGGAAATCACTTTGGAAGGTATAAAAATGTCTAACCACTACACTGTACACCTGCAACTAATGTAATACTGAATATCAACTGTAATTGAAAAACTTTTTTACTTTAAGAATTTCAAGATGATAACAGTAGTGCATTAAACACAGGTGACTGCACAGTCCGAACACCCGCAAAGCCCTTCCTGCCTCTTGATGAAGGAACTTGGAAGATGGTTTGGTCAGAATAAGGGAACCTGTGGGCCAGCCGAGTGGCTCAGTTGGTTAAGAGCTCGTGAGCTCTGAGCAACAGTGGTTCGATGCCTGGCCCAAGCTGAGCTACCGATGAGCTGCCAATAGGTGGCAGGATGGCTAAGCTAAAAAAGAGAAAAGAAAAAATAATAATAATAAGGGAACCTGTAACCTTCCTGCAATGCAACCAGCTTTTCAACGAATGCAAAAAAATGTTCACTGACCTTGCATTCTAGTTCACAAAATCTCTTTGTTCAGATGATATAAATTTTTTTTAATCTTTCAAATCAAAATGACTGCATTTATGAAATGAAGAAACTAATCTTTCACTCAGGATCACTTTTTAAAGATAAAAACTCTCACACCACAGCAGTCTTCACAGCCTGCTCCGTAGCTCAATGGCTGTTCGGGCTCATCATGCTTATTCTTTTAATTTATGAACACAAAATACTGAACAGTGCAGGACGGGGGCATGAACATGGTGGTGACACCACTGAATTAAGATCCAGACCTATATTAAATTCTGTGACTGACTGTAGCGTCTCTCGACTTTTATACTCTCTCCAAAGGAAACTATAAGGGAAAGGCGTAGATTGACAAAATTGAAAGGCCACATTCATCACACAATTTTAGATCTGTGTCCCTTTACCAGATCACACCACCTGCAGGGCACAATGAATTGTTATTTTTATAAATCTTTCCATCACTTTGTGATACTAGTATATTATATTTTTTTCTTCCAACAATCTATGTATTTTTTTCTTCTACACTTTCTTCATCCTGTCTTGGTATTTCTTCCTCTTCTTCTTTTAAGTACATTTAAAAACCTCAACAAGTGGAAATGGACCAGCTTCCCTGTGACCTTGGGCAAGTCACTAACAACTGGTGCTTAATTTTAAAGTTGAAAGCAAGGGTTCTTTATAACGATAAAAGACACAAACAAGATGAAACTCTCGGGCCGGCCGAGTGGCGCGATGGTTAAGAACTGGCTTGGGACACCAGAGGGCCCCGGTTCGGATCCCACATATGAGGGCCAGTGACA